TTTTTTTTTTCAACATCTTTGCACTTTTCCTTCTAGGAAAAGTGCACTTTGTTGTACTTTTCCTTTGCACTTTCCATCTTTGCATCTTTTTCCTTTTACTGGATGTTTGCCCCAATAAAGGGAAATATTGTTCCATTTTCAGTCCTGGCCACTGAACAGTGGTGGCAGCGGGGAGACCCTCCTGTGTAATTTAAATAACACAATAACGAAGCTCTCCCCAAACTTGAGGGGGTGTGGCAAGGTGAGGATTTTCTGTGTCTGCCTTGTCACTTTGTTTGAAGGCTCACGTGGGCTTTCTTTTGAAGGGTGAGAGAAGGAAGCACAGAACCGAAACCCAGATCAGCACCACAATGGCTATTCATGAACTGAGGAAATGCAATCCCTCTCCCAGGCCAGGGCCAGGGCGGGTGGGGAGGGGAAGAAAGAGGTGTGCCTCCAAACAAGGTTTAGGGATGTTGAGCAGAATTAGAATCAGACAGGAACTTTTTAAGTGCCTGGTCAACGCTTTCTCCCTGCCAAAGCTTTTTCCCATATTAATTCTATTCGTCTGGTTCTTTCAACCACCCCGTGAAGCTGACAGGGTAGAAAGGATGAAGCAACAAAAGGAAGTTAGTATTAATTGCTAATGTCATTGAGTACTTGCCCTGTACAGCCAATATACTAAGCATCTTGCTTAATCAGATTTTAATCCTCACAACTGTTTTATGAGGTAGATAGAGTACCCTTAATTATCCTTATTTTGAAGGGAAAGCGACTGTGACTTGAGTCCAGTAACTAGGAGATGATACCACCAGGATTTAAACCAGTGTTCTCTGACACCAGAGCCCTAGCTCTTTACCATTGTATCAACCACCTCCTCCCTCCAGGATCACGTGGCTGGCTGAGAGGAGACCCCGACTGGAGGTGGGCAGGATTGGAGACTAAAGTGAAGTCTAGGGCCCACCTCATCCCCCTGTGGAGGCCACTCATCCACATTTCACTCTTCCTCCTACACCCATCGCTCACTGGCTCCAACACATGGACTTCCTTGCCTGTCTCACCTTGCCCAGTAGGAATATCTGGGCTATGCAGGGCACATTCTGACACCTACATCTGGCCTGATCTGCAACAGGGCCTCTGCCCAAGGACATGGTACGTTTCCATTTAGGCGGTATACAAGGATGCCTGGCTGAGGGTGAGCACGGCTGCTGAAATCCAGCCCATGCTCTGCTAATAAGTTTTGTGCATCTGTTTGCCTAGAAACACCTTTTTCTAATTAACACAAAGACCCTAGGGTGTAGCAGTAGTTCCCTATCTTCCTAGGCTCCACTTCAGTATTTAACCTGGGCCCCATTCCTTAAAGAACATACACTTTAGAAGCTAACTGCAAGAGGCTGTACTTAGATAAATTAATTTCTTCTACTTGATATTTTAGATTTTATTGCATTAGCCCCCTCACACTGATGTAATCCAATAACATAAAAGTGCCATCAATGGCAGGAAACTAAGGCATTTAGAAGCTCATGGGGGAAATATTGTGGGTTGGGGAACAAATTTATCTACATTTGTTGTTCTCAGATTTAAAAGTGTGTCAGTGACTCAGGGGGCTTGTTACAACACAGGTTGCTGAGCCCTCCACCTAGCATTTCTGATTCAGTTGGTCTAAAAGAGGACCCAAAAGTTGCATGTTTAACAAGTTCTGGGTCTGGGGTTCACACTTTGAGAACTACTGATCTAAATATTTCCTCATACTTACACTATAATACTTGACTCACAGTATAGATGAGCTTCTTATTCCACCAACATTTCCTGATAAAGACACACACAGCCACATTATTCTATTATAATGGTAACAATAATGAGAACAGTAGCTAACAGTGATTATTTTCTAGGCACTACTCTAGGCACATGAGATGTGTTAACTCATGTCCAGGGTGAGAAGAGAGAAGAGTGCAAAGAGAAAAGAGAGAAGAGAGATTTTTGAAGCCAAGTACTGGCCCAAGTCAACAACCTTCCAAAGATTGACCCCTAACACTAGCAGGTCAAGATGCAAGGAAAGAGGTTAAAGGAGAAAGACAGGGAAAACTCTGCATTAATGAGTGATTGTTGGGTTCCAAATTGTGTTCTCTTTGGCATTTACCTTCATTAGCAGGAGCTTTGTGTAAGAGACTGTGACTAGGTGTGCAGGTGTATATGTGTGTTAGTGTGTCCTCTACTTGCTCTGCCATTCTCTAATCATCCAACTTTGAACAAGTTCTTAACATCTTCAAGCTTAAGGTGGCTATCTGGGACATACTAATAATATTACCAATACAACTTCTAATACTACAATGGTAGACTGTGTGATGCTCACAGATTGCTCCCATCCAATATCTATGCCCCTTTGGCATGTGACTTTGCAGCTCTCCCCATCAAGAGGTGGCGTCCCTGCCTTCTTCATGGCCCAACTATATATACTAAGCAAATCCCAAATCCTCACAAACCAACTGCTGTCTGATGAGGAAAACAATTGGCACACAGATTTTCCTCTTATAGAATTGCAAGCATTAGGTCAAACAATTTTATTTCTCTTTTATAACTTTATGAGTGCTGAGGTAGAGTACCCTTCAAAATTACTTTCAATTACCAGAGGACAAGCGGGGTGGGAGGGAGAAGAAGATAAAGAGGGATAAATGGTGATGGAAGGAGACTTGAATTGGGGTGGTGAACACACAATACAATATACAGATGAGGTATTATAGAACTGTACACCTGAAACCTATATAATTTTATTAACCAATGTCACTCCAGTGAATTCAATAGAAAATAAATTAATAAATAATAATTCGATCAAGAGCCCAAAAGCTAAAACAAAAACAAGACTACTTTGAAAGGACACGCATTTCACCTCCCGAGTGACTCACTTACTTTTCAAAGTGTCCAACTATAGCTGTTTATAATTGGCTGTTATAAAGTAAATGCTTCTGGTAAATCAAATATGACCTTGCCTGGATGCCTTGACTGAGGTATGAGAGTCATGGGAAACTGCAGTTTTAGAACCTGCCTTTGGAAAGAGCATGGTTTCTACACACTCAGATGCCCAGGACAGAATTAAGATTTTTCCTGAGCTCAAGAATAATGGGAATGTGAGATAGTTGCAGTCATTCTGGTGTCCCATCTAAAAGATCATAAACATAGCAGTAGATTTCACTTTAGAAAAAGACTAAAATCCCCCAAACCCAGTATATTTGTCGTGACCCGAGCTTGCACACCCAGCTCTCGGGCTGGATCCTCTGAGCCCTGTAGCCCAGTGCTGGGTGGGCCCAAGGCCTGGCATGCCTGTGATGGAGCTCCAGGGCTGGGTGACCTTGGCTCATCCCAGCAGAGCCCAGCAACCTCTGGGAGCTCTCTCTGTGTTTGTTTCACAAGGTCAGATCTCCACAAGAACAGGGAAAATTGTTTTTCTAAAAGACAAGTCCTTAGTGTCCAAGCAGATGTGCTTCTGTTACAGTTTTCATTCATCATGTTTCTTATTTGATGCACTGAATTTTATATATACGTGTGTGTGTGTGTGTGTGTGTGTGTGTGTGTGTGTATACTCCTCTCTAAACTGATGTTAGAATGCAGTTTTGGGTGAGGCACATTCGGCCAGCATGAGAAGGGGCTCCCCCAAGAAGCATTCCATTTCAAAAGTAAGCAGTGAGTCTCACTGACACCAGTGGTTGAAAGGGCTCAGGGGTTGGAGGTTGAGGGAGAGAAGTGCCTGTTCACGACGGCATTGGAAGGACCAGCTCTCCTCCCATTTCCTGCCTTCCTTCCCCATGTTCCAAGCCCAGACAGGTCTGAAACCATAATGATCCAACTAGTGAGGCGGGTAAAAAGCTAGGTGGTGAGTGAGAGAATTTGGACATGCTCCCTTTTCCTACTTCAAGTTCAAACTGATAATAAATCATGAGAAGAGAAGCTAACATTTAAATTGAATTTAGAGTTTGGGTTATTTTCTGAAATGGGTATTTTTGTTAATGGATTGAGAGTGGTTTTGGTTTGAAAGTGATGTAAAGAGCGTTGGAAAATCATGAGGCCTTCCTCACTTCTATTCAGAGGCCAGTGAAGAGCTAGGTCACAGGGAAGATTTATAGTCCAGGAGAAGTGGAGATAAAGTCCCAAGAATTGTTCAAAGGACTGACTATGTTTGTTCTGTGATCAATAATGAAGTATCCACCCACTATATGGGGACCACAGGCAATATTAAACTCTGCACAAAATAAAAGAAACGAGAGCACTAAAATGAATAAGTCATATGCATAGTGCGGGATTTTTGCTTTCTTTAAATAATCGGATTGCTTATTAAGAAAACAACTAGACACCGTCAAATGAAACTTTAGCCTCTTTGATTTGCTTTAATTACACTATTATTGCCTAAAATGGTGGCCCAAAACCCCGAGTGGAAAGCAAAACCAAAGAGGTAAACACCTGTTACGAGAAACACTATGCCGGCCGTCTCCATGACCCCACCTTTGCCACCCCTGGGCCATGCCAGTGACCCGTCCTCCTGGGGATGCTGATGTGGAATTGGTGAGACTTAGCTTCCCTTGACCAAGTTCACAAATCAATACTAGTGATTCCTAAACCGTGTGTTGCTTTGCGACTATTTCTCCTCCCTTTGAGCTTACGTGACTGTGACAGAAATGCCAGGGGACCTATGAGGTACTAATTTCAAAGTCCAATTCCTGGTTTTAGGTTATGCTCAAGACTATGAACCTGACTTTGGTTCAGAAATGTGACCGAATACACAAGTGTGCTTCTGACATTGTGGCCTAATTATGTTCATGTTAGAAAGAGGTAGAATTTTTCATTCAGTTCTCAAGATTTTTGCATTACACCAAATACATTCATGTACAGTTAGCAGCTAGGGCACAGAGTGTGCCTAATCATCTGCTCGCATAGCACCATTCCCAGAATTCCCAGCAAAGCAAGTCTTTTCAAGCAATGGGCTTTCTGAGAGCCTCACAAACCACACTCCACAGCTGCCGTCCTCTTACCTCTTCTGTGGTGCTGGAGAAGGGCTGAGTGGTCCAGGGAACCCATGATGTCTCCGTCCTTCCAGTCATCTGCAGACTGGGTTGCTGACTCTGGCTGTGGTTTTGGCTGGCGTTTCCAGTAGTACTGCTGGTGAAGGCCTCTGTGGTGTTGCTAATGGGGCGTTCAGGGCTATATGGAACGGCATGAGATGCAGTGGGGGTTTGGGGAGGAGCTGTGTTTCTGATGCTTCTCACGGAAACTTCTGCTCCCCGGACAGCTGAGGTAGAGAAAGGACAGCTGTTAACATTACCCTCACGTTCTTATGGATTCTTCACACAAAAGCAATTTTTTCTTAGAAAAAGAGGAAATCTATAAGGACAGACATGTGGATAAGCTTTAGTTATATTAAAAAAAGTCAAAGATACATTGAGTGTCTCGATGCTCATTTGCCCCGTTCAGTTCACCCATCCTGTACCCAACTACCAGCCGCATCCCAGCTCCGTGTAGAAGATGAAATTACATTTAGTCCATGAACTTTTAGGACCACTGAACTGGCTTCAGGGGTTGCATGGATCTCTAAACACTTCATGTAAAATTCTCAGTATATGAATATACATATGTACTTTTTTGTGTGGGGGACTTTTACAATTTCTCAACGGGGTCATTAAACAAAATGCCAGATTGAGAGCCACTGTTAATGACTCGCCTGACTTTGCCATGAAGACTGATGATTCCTTGGAAAACAATGACATTTCTTTAACCACAGTACAGACTGTTTCTAACCCTAATTGTGTCAGTACCAAATCATGGGACAGTTCTGTTTTCTGAGCTACTTGTCTTTTGGAAGAACAGTTAATTGATTTAAAACTTAGGAGGTGGTAGGATGAATTCACAGCTTTGTTTTGCAAAGCCAAATTGCCCATACTTAAGAAGAAATGAGTTTGTGAAGCCATAATTTTAAAATGTGCTTCCATCTTATCAAGATCTTGCTAACAAGCAAATTCTGATTCACTGGAGATGGTCTGATTCAGCTCGTCTAACAAGCTCTCAGGTGATGTCGGTGGGGATGCTGATGGCCTTTGGACCACTTTTGGTGCAGCAAAACTCTAGAGAATGGTTGTATGATCTGAACCATTGGAAAGGTCTGTGACTTGTGGGCTGAGGTGGTCTGTTTAGATGCTTCCATCAGCTCCATAGTAAATCACAGTTTCAGGGATAAAACCCCCCACAAAAATCTTGCCCAATTTACATAATCATAACTTTGAAGAGTTTCTGGTTGAAAGATGCAAAAGAAAAATGACCTTTTTTACTACTTCTTTACTAGTTCATTCAAATAACCATCTATTAAGCAACTACCATGTGTAAGGTGGAGTTCTCTTGAAGATGCTATTATTCTCCCTGTTCTGGACCACCCTACTGACCCCTCTTTTGGACCTTGTTCATTTCTGTTCCAATTTAAACTAACTTATCTCATATGATATATATATACACACACACATATATATATATATAAAGGTGAGGAGGATAAGGTTTAAAAAAAGAATAAAAATGAAAAAAAGTATTTTTAAAATTTAGCAAGATATAAATAGCAGTGCTCTTAAAAGTTAATAAAATTATCATGGCTATTAAGCATTCTTTCCTCGAGCCATGGAGGGTTGCGTAAAGTAATCTCTCCATAGGGTTGCTGCATTTAGTAAATAAAAACACGGGATGCCCGGTTAAATTAGAGTGTTAGCTAATAATTCCATATATTGAATATATCTCAAATGTATAATATCACAAAGGTTATGTTATGTTGTATATTATAAATATCCTAAAAATTATTTGTCATTTATCTGAAACTTAAATATAACTGGGGGTTGGCGGTAATGTCAACCCTGCTGCACACCTGCTAAATCTAGGATTTGACAGACTTTTGGACATTCCCCTTAGTTTCTGTTTTTATCTTTCAGAATCTTGTGGAACTGTCACTGCCATTGGGCTGGGGTTGGCCACTCTGACCATAGATCAAGAGGTTTATTAATACCTGGCATGTTTTCTACATGACAAACCCAACTTAATGTTAGGGAGAATTTCAACTCCATGAAGCAGTGTTAAATCTGCAGTCTTAACTGAGTGAGCTCATTGAATGTCCCCTTAAGTAGACATTTGTCCATTGCTGGCATACAAACATTTCTGTATGTGGAGATTAGTGTTTTGGTCATTTTGAGCTTTGGCCAATGCTGATCCTCTGAGTTGAATACCACCTATGACAATTTTAGTTCTCAGACCTTAAAAAAAAAGGATTTAATGATGGGGTTAGGACAAAAACAAGCTTCCAAACATCTAGCATGTAATTATGTATCTGCGCGCATCAACCTATGCTCACTCTTCCTTGCTAAGGAGCACTTGTTAAGTGCTCATCCTAAGAACTTTTTGGAAAATTTCATTAACTTACATAATTAGTTCAATGGATGAAACAAGATTCTCCCAAAATTAGATAAATGATCAAAGCATTCTTGAAAAGTTTTCTGCAAATAATGTCACTTATTACCATCGCATGTAACTTTGGAGTATCTTATGGAAAATTTTTCAATGTTCTGTAATTGTCTTTAATTAAGCTTCTAAATTTATTTATAAAACACCTCAAACCAAACAAGTCCATTTTCCATTTTAGGCTGCCACCTTTTTTCCAAAGAAAGAACCTACAAAATATCCAAGTTAAATACCCCTCATTTTGTGTCTGTGTTTCTAACTTGTGCTATTTAAGAAGCAGGAAAGAAGCTTTAGTCTTAACATTCAAGTTCCCCAACTTCATGAATTTTAAAGCTGTGGTTCACAAATGTTGGAGGGCATCAGCATCACCTTTGGGGCTTGTTAGAATTTGAAGCCTTGGCCTTTCTCCTAGAAATTGTGATTCAGTAGATTTTGTGTGGGACCCACCACCAGCATTTCTAACAAATCTCTAAGTTGATCCAAATATACATCTAAACATATGATTTTATTCACATATATAACATAGGCCAAAATCATTCCTAATATGGGTACTAAAAGATTATAAAGTAGACAGAAGAAAATCAAATCCATACAGAAATATACAAAGTGGTTAAAGAGGTTACCTTTTGCATATCCTGAACCCATTGTTGAAGTGGGTGCTAGGAAATTGTAAAAATAGTACATCTTTGGATGTTTTGGTGTCTATATTCTTCTGATGTTCTTTTAAAAAGTATATGCATTTCACAGTTCATGAAAAAGCAAGATGTTTTGACAAATGCAAGCAAAAGTTCTTACACAATGGGACAATATGTTGAAGTTATTTTTAAAAAAGCTTTATTGTATCATTGCTGCTACATTGTTTTCACATTGTACACAATCCCTCTTAGAATGCTATCCAAGAAAAGGTGGGCTATCTTGGGCCAGTCTAAAAAGTTTTGCATTGAAGTTGCAAATGGCTCACCTGTGAGACAATTTGCAATCATTGCATCATAGTAAGACTGTATATTGAATACATTTTTAAAAAGGCAATGTATATTTTAGTTAACTAATTAGCCTGATTGGCTCAGATATAATCAATAACAGAAATAAAATTTTGTGTAACAATAACAAAGACAATACCCAATTTGTTAGTTTTCCTGCTTTAAGTGATACTAATAATTTTTAAGCATGTTGAAAACATAATCACTTGAATTAAACTCATGTGGAGACAGAAAGTTTGAACTACATTGGCACTTAATATCTAGAAAATATAGAAAGTATTAATCTTATGGATGAACAGCATGCATATTTGTGTTTTAATTATAATATTTAGTTATCAACTCTTTAAAAAGGGCATTTGGAATCATTCATTGCAGACATCCGAATGCAATTTAATTTTTCACAATGGATTCTCTAGAAATTCAGTGAGCTTTCATGCACTGGGTCAACTACTATCATTCTGCATCTTTAATTAATGGTAAGTTTGAAATGGAGCAGAAAAATGTGTGTTACCTTGTACTTTTGTTAAAGCAAGTATCGTATCTATGTACACTCAAAAAACTGATTTTTTTGTATCACAATTTTTCAAATTTTAACTCTGTTTTTTCTACAATTGTATATTTTTCCCCAACACACATTTCCAGGTGTTCGTTTAGTAATCAGATATAAATGGCTGATTCTATCCACTTTACCTTTGAAGCAAAGTCTATCATTGTACATGTTTTGCATGAAGGTCAAAGGAGATAGTTTTTCCACGAAAAACTATCAATTCTTTACTGAAGCTATATCTACTTTTTAAAAAGTTTCAGTGAAAGAATATTCTTCTATATAAAGTTCGATTGAATGATGGGAATGGATCTCACTTCTTGTACATTACCATATAGAGAGAATATTCACAATGATTCCCTGTGGTTTATGACAGGCCCTATGACAGGAAAAATTGCACAAATTTGTGCTATATGTTGCACATTCTCTGATAAAGTTGAAATTTCTGATTGACTTTTATATTTTTACATGAGTCTCGTAGAACTTTTATAATGATAGAGATTATAATGCCCAAGTCAACTGCTATCATAAAACAGCTCACTGCTTTAATTGGCATCTAAATAAATGCTTATTTATTTTACAAAATGAATGAGTGTCAGAAAACTATCAAAAGATTAGCATGGTAGAAAGACTCATATAAATATCAAAAATTGACATCTAATAAAAATATTTACAGATACAGTATATTTAGGAACTTCCGCCAAGATGGAGGCGTAGGTGGAAGCACTGCACCTTCTCGCACAACTAGGTTTAAAAACAACAAAGTTTTAGCAACAAAAACGCAGCCAAACCACAGAAAATTGAACTACACAAAAGTATGACAACAACAGACTCTTCAGCCAAACTGGTAAGAGGGGCAGAGCCAGCAGCAGAGCAGGGTCGGGCAGAAAAGATCCACCGGACCTACCTGGGCACGTGACCCAGGTGCGCCAGCAGCTGTGGGCGGATCCCAGGTGTGGAGAAGCAGGCGGGCCCACTGAGGGCGCAAGGCAGTGGACCCACTGAGGGCTGATCTCGGTCACACACTCACGCGCAGATAAACTGGTGAAGGAGCAAGGAGTAAGGTGGACCGCGCAGGCCCCAGCGGCAGGAAGTGGCAGAGGGAACCGCCATTGTCCCTCTCTGACCCCACCCCCACATACTGCGTCACAAACCAGCGACCTGGGTGCCCCCGCCCTGGTGAATACCTCCTCTACGTAACAGGCACAAACAGATCAAAACATGGCTCAAGAACAACTCAGAGCCTCAGAGCCGATAAATCTAAGCGATGAAGAAATAGCCAAACTTTCAGATGCACAGTTCAAAACACTGGTGATCAGGATGCTCACAGAACTGGTTGATTTTAGTCACAAATTAAGGGAACATATGAAGGCTAAACTAATTGAAATGAATGGAAATACACAGGAAACCAATAGTAATGGAAAGGAAACTGGGACTCAAATCAAAGGAGTGGCCCAGAAGGAGGAAAAAAATGACCAAACAGAAAAGGATGAAGAAATAAGAATTCAAAAAAATGAAGAGAGGCTTAGGAACCTTCAGGACATCTTTAAATGTTCCAACATCCGAATTATAGGGGTACCAGAAGGGGAAGAGGAACAGCCACAAGTGGAAAACTTATTTGAATAAATAATAAAGGAGAACTTCCCCAATCTGGCAAAGGAAATAGACCTCCAGGAAATCCAGGAAGCTCAGAGAGTCCCCAAAAATTTGGACCCAAGAAGGAACACACCAAGGCACATCATCATTACATTAGCCAAGATTCAAATGAAGGAGAGAATCCTAGAAGCAGCAAGAGATAAGGGGACAGTCATCTACAAAGGAGTTCCCATCAGACTGTCAGTGGATTTCTCAAAAGAGACCTTACAGGCAAGAAGGGGCTGGGAAGAAGTTTTCCAAGTCATGAAATCCAAAGACCTACATCCAAGATTGCTCTATCCAGCAAAACTTTCATTTAGAATGGAAGGGCAGATAAAATGCTTCTCAGATAAGATCAAATTCAAGGAGTTCATCATCACCAAGCCCTTATTATATGAAATGTTAAAGGGACTTACCTAAGAAAAAGAAGATAAAAACGATGAACAGTGAAAGGACGGCAAACTCACAGTTATTAAGAACCACACCTAAAACAAAAGCAAACTAAGAGGACAGCTAGATCAGGAGCAGAACCATAGAAATGAAGATCACATGGAGGGTTAGCAACAGGGGAGTGGGAGAAGGAGAAGGGGGGAGAAGGTACAGAAAATAAGTAGCATAGATGGTAGATAGAAAACACATAGGAGGGAGGGCAAGAATAGTATGGGAAATATAGACTCTAAAGAACTTGAGACATGTAGTCATAAACTAAAGGGGGGGAATGGTAGGGGAGGGGATGTGCAGGGTGGAAGGAAATGAAGGGGGGAATAGAACATCTGTAATGGCATAATTAATAAAATATATTTAAAAATTAAAAAATATATTTACAGATACAGTATATGCTGATCTCTAAATGAGATTGTAGATCAAAATTATCTGGATAAGTTTTTTTTAAACATATAAACACTTGTGCCCAAATTTGTATTTCTCAAAACACAATCTTGGAGGTGGTAGTGGGGAAAGAAATGATGGCAGCAGTTCCTTCCTCTCCCCCAGGTGATTCCTCTGTAGCCACCTGAACAAAAGTTGGTGGTCAAGCATTTGGGAAACGCTGTACAGTGGAATGTACACTGGACAAGGAGTTAAGAAACTTTGGTTCTAACCAAACCTCTCTCACTAAATTATCTGGAATGATTCACTTAACCTTGACAAATGTGAGTGTCCTTGATGAACGTCTTCATTTCTAGATAATTTCTCCAGTGCCATGTAAGGTCTATTTGTACCTAATAAATAATGATTCTATTAATTTTGTCTTTCATGACTTCCTAAGAGCAAGCCTCTAAGAGAAGTAATAAAATTACTGGGTAAAACAGAAAATTAAGTTGCGCCCACAAATAAAAACATTTCAGCACAGGACTAAAGTGTGTGCTGCAGCAGGAGTTTGTGCCCGTGTACATAAGTCTTTACATGTGTCTGTCATCTAGGTTATATCCATCAGTGGGTAGCAAATTAGAAAACTCTGTGTCTACACATTCGTTTTTACCATTTCAAATGTAACCCCCAACAGATATCTACCCCTAAATATTAGTGCCAGAGATTTGAAGAAGCATAGCTTAGTATCTTTCCAGTCTTGTCAAGCACAATTTTGATGGTCTAATAGTTTCTCGTAATTGGACAATCGTAGTGTCTACGTCAGCAAAATGTTTAATTTCCCGATCCTTTGCTTTAGTCATTACACATGTATGTTGTGTTTATGCTTAGATCTGTGTTCACATATCTTATAGTGCTTAACTAAAAGTGCCTAGTGTCTGGCACAAAAGAGAAACTCAAGAAATATTTGTTGAATTAATAAAAGAAGGGAGATCCCTGACCAGTATGGCTCAGTTGGTTGGGTGTCATCCTGCAAAGTGAAAGGCTGCCAGTTCAATTCCCAGTCAGGGCACATGCCTGGGCTGTGAGTTAGGTCCCTGACTAGGGTGTGTACATGAGGCAACCAATCAATGTTTCTCTCTGACATCGATGTTTTTCTCTCTTTCTCCCTCCCTCCCCTTCTTGCTATAAATAAATAAATAAATAAATAAATAAATAAATAAATAAATAAAATAAAATGAAGCAAGAAAAGAAGGAAAAAAAGAGCGAGAAATAGACAAAAAGAGAAAAGTTGGGCTTATTTTAATGGGGATCATAAAATTTTGCAAGTCGCTGGGCTGGGTACCACATAATCCATTTCCATCAGCTTATGAATCTCCCATAGAAATTGTGTTGGGGCATGTAGTCTTCTTTTGAGTGTGAAAACAACAGGACATTTAGCAGAACAACTTTCAGAGTCGATTCTGAAAGGAATAGCTCACCTTTTTTTAAGCAGAGGTTTTCATCGACTGGGTTTCCTTCCTTGTTGACCTCTGTTTTCATCCAGCTATGGAAGTATTTCTTCTCCTTCTGGACCACTGCTTTGTTGCCTCGTTTCTTGAGAAAGAGAGAGGTATGTTCCACCTCAAGGTACCCTTCTTTCTCATGGCAAGTCCATCGGGGGGCCTGGGAGCAGTGGACAAAGATGGCTGATCGGGAAGGGCCGCCGGAGGAATTGGAGATGCCCAGGCAGAGCGCAGATTTTACGTGAAGGAGTTTTCCATCCTCAGTCCATGTCCACTGCTGGTTCTGGTTGGTGCCATTGCACAAGCCTATGGACACCATCTTATTTTCGAGAAGGCACTGTTGTTTCCGGACATGGACAATCTGAAACCCCTCTGGGGGATGAAAAACTCATCTAGTACCATGTATAATAACAAATGACAAGGCCCAACAGAAAATGAAACCACCTACCCACAAATCAGCCAATTAAAACAAAAGGTTTACTTATCTTTTGCTATTACTATCATTTCAAGTGACTATTTCCAGATTCAGCACATGGAATTTAAAATCCCAAGGCTGACTATGTCAAAATGTCAAAATGTCAAAATGTCACACTTAGCTCCCTTTCTTTTAGGGAAGAAAACACACCCCCACTGAAGGGATGAAAGGAAGCTTGGAAAAGAAACAAACCATCCAAAGATTACGGTGCGATGTGTTAGTCCAATTAGTTAAATACGCTGAAATTATGAAAAGCTCAGTTCCCTTTTCAAGCATTTTATTCTTCCCCTGTCACTTCCATCCCCAACTTTAAAAGGCACCCTTTTATGCAATCCTTAAGTTATCATTGCAATAATTTTGTATATAGAGTTTAAATAAAAATTTAAAAATTGGATGCATTTACCTTTCTAAGCACACCTTATAGTTAACTACCAATAACCAACGAAAGTATTGATTTTTCACAGACTAAATTTTTTACAGTTCTAAAAAGAAGCATTTCTTAATTTTGTGATAATACCTGTACTTTTTCTTCAAATACAAACAAGATGAAAATATCAGCACTTCTCGATGTAGAAAAATTAAATACCCAATGGTTAAACATCAGTATTTAAAAGTGAGATATTCGGGCTCAGAAACCATTTGCAGTGTGCTTTCACTCAGTATGCCCAGCTCCATGAAAATATTCCGACCTTCCTGCCAAATAACAACTTCCAAATTAAGCACACCAATCTTCTTCATCCCCTTTCATTGTATTTGTTACATCTTCTTTCTTTTATTCTCATACACAGAAACACATCATAACCTCATTGGGAAAAAAAATGGAGAATGCCCCAAACTGTTACATAATAATAAAAAATCTTTCCTCAGGACTCGTTCCTCTCGGCTGTAAAGATGCCTTTTCGGGAGCTGCCTGAGGCATCTGCAGGACCTTTTGTTTTCTTTCAGAGAGAAATTTCAACAGTGCGGGCAGAGCTGGCTCCTTTTATTCCCCCTCCTCACCCTCTTCGGCTAAACTGCCCTGGACGGAGACTCAGCTCCATTTCCGCCTCCTTTCAGCCACTTTTCAAAGGACAGAGTCTCCTCTGGCACCTACTAGAGAAATGCGTGGGGATCCGGAGGCAGGCCCACTCACCTGAGTTCCCGAAGATCACGCAGGTAAGAATCGCCATGTAAAATGCAGCCTCCATTTTCCACTTAACAACTGTTCATGCTTTGCTTGGGGGGGAAAATTCCCTCAGATAAGAGAAGCAAAGACTAGGGAAGGAAATGTGCCTTCATGGTGGGGGGGAAAGTCAGTGACGAGCATTTCCTCCTATTGAATTGTTTGGGGAAGTTTTACACCAGTGTCCTTTTGTCTGTTTCCTTAGAAAGGAGGGATTATGATCACCTCTCTTTTTTTATGTAGCAAAAAATTCCAGCCTCCAGGAGCAGAATAAAACTCCCAGGTTTTCTCCAACCATCCCATCCCTTTGGCACTTCTTCACCTCAAGAAGGAATTGTAATCTTAGATAATTGAATGTTCCTACAACATTACATCTCATCAGGTGGTGTGATTCTGCTGAATACACACAAACCATGTGATTTAGGAGCGTCTGTGACAAGTGACCTGAAGACATAAACATGTCCTGTTCCTATGATGATACACTGGGAGTCTGTTGAGGAAAACCACATAATTATGGCACTTCGAGATCATTATCTGCCCGGTGATGACAAGAGGTATCACGTTTGAGATGCTCATCTCCACCAGGGAGAGGTCGAGACTAAGGCTAAACACATCATCTACTTAAGACGTCCCCCAAGAGATAACAACAGCCCCTCTCCAAATAGGAAAAGAAAGGACCTGCTTTACTCAATCATTAGTATTAAGAGTAGTTTATTGGCAGTAGGAAACAAAGCCAACATAGCTGCATTAAAAATTCATATTTGAGCAGAACATCTAGTGTTTGCTGACTGTAGTTTTTGTTTTTAGCTGTATTTGTCTCTGGAGAATTGGAGCCTTTCAGAAATGTTGGGATGTCCACGGCAGCGTCCTTTCAGAAGAACCTCTCAAAATGCGCCAGGTGACATCATCATTCCCCAGAGTAATTGCCTTTTATTAGGCAAGAGATTCCAGGTAGACGGCATACTCAAAAACTCCTTCTCAGTGACAGAGAGAAAAGTATTTAAAATTCTTGATGCATCAGAGTTGCTACAAAGTTGTTTGCCCCTTTTACAGTAAAACGACTCACAAGGTAGAAATACAGGGGATAGAGGTCTGGAGCAGAAGCCACCGCCACGCTCAGCAATAGAGAGTAAATACACACAAACCCAGTGACAGTCATTGTGCTCTGTTTTTGATTGACAGGAGGTACTGATAAATACATGTTTAATGTGTAATATTATCAAGACACATTTCCATATAAAATAGTTACTGCTTTTAATTTTTTTCAAAAACAAGTACTTATTTGTTAAAAATCCTTTATCAATCACTTGTAACTTTAGCGGCAAGATTCTGGTAAATGAGAAAGATAATAGCACTTAAAAAGGAACAGTTTAACAGCTGACAGTCCATTCACGAGACAGATTTTGCAAACATTAAAGCATCTAAACACACAATAATTTCTTCAGCAGCTCTTCAGTCATCATCTGATGACATGTATCACTGAGTGTTTCAGACATACATTCTGTGTGGCAGGTAATTGATACAGACAAGACAAAATCCCCCTTAGCTGTGTGAGGAGTCTGCCATACCTCCAGCAGTATAGGACCTTCAAAATAACTTAGGAGATGCTTACAAATGCATTCATATACACAAGGGGCTGGCAGCCTTTAACATGTTGCTGTCTTCCACAATCCATGGCACAGCCTGTCCGGAGGGCTTCTTGTTCCTTACGTTGCAGGAAGCTCCTTCCAGAAGCCTCAAGTGGGTAATTGACTAATCACCCCTAGAGATTGATGGTCTGGTAAATCTTCCGAGCATCACTGGACAGTTTCTGTGGAAAGTCTGCTCTCGTACAGGCACAGAGCATGATGCACAAATTCATACTGCTCACTGGTTTGGACCATTCCACCTCTGCAAGAAGGAGATAAGACAGTGACTCCTTCCTGCTAACATTTTGCAATCGCCAGTAACACAGTGAGCCCATCCAAGCTGGGGACTTATGCCAGTCAACAGATGACCTGGTGATTCTTTTGTTGCCCCTTTTACCCAACTGGTGAACTTAATATGCTAATGTACATGAAGGGATTAGCACAGTGCCCAGTACATACTAGTAGGCACTTGATTAGTTTCACCTACATACCATTCCTGAGCAGGCAATATAGCTTATTGGTTAAGTAGTTGGACTTGGGAACCAGACTGGCTGTGTGAGTTCAAATCTCTCTTCTCCCAGTTCTTAGTTGTGTGATTATAGACAAGTTCCTTAAAACCCTCTGTGCCTCAGTTTCTCCTTTTTCCAAGTAGGATAATTACGACACTTATTTCATGGGATTCTTATGAGGGTTAAATGAATTCAGTGAATGAACTGACTATCTGGAGTGTTAGTATTACTTCTCACGTGCCTTTTCATTCATCTTACATTACAATGGTTTATGCACTGGGATTCAAATTGATCCAAGTGGGTTTACCAAACAAAACTCAGCTGTGAAATGCTACTCTTTCTACCAGTACAAAGAACAACCACCATGGAATGGTCTCTGAGGATGTTATACAGGAACCACCTCAGCCTCTGGGTGGCTGTGCTGCTGTCCAAATACAATGGCGGGCGGGCCCTTCAGTGAGTTGGAAAAAAGAGAGTGGCTGTTGCTTCTTCCCCTTTGTTAGCTCACCAGTTACTCAGCATACCTATTGTCACTGGATCAGTAGAGAGTAGCAGCCTCCAGGAGAAATAATGACGTTTCTCGTTAGCCTTTCTATACAAAATAGCTATCTCACATTTTCTCTTTATAATAATGGTTCTTGTACTTGGCAAAGGTAGTAATATAAAATGCTGCTTATTTTTCCTGCTCAGCATCATTGTTAGTAACTATTTAAAGTCCTATAATTCTCCCTATCTCTGCAATCATATAACTAATTTGAAATTACGTTTTATCCAGTTCTTCCTAGTGCCTGTTGTTACTAAATAATTATTTTTAGATCATCCACTTAAAAATAAGATATATGCTTCACTGTAAAATGATTTTGGTTAATGGTAATTACTGAAATCGGGCTTGTACCTATGTTTACTTATTAACCTCTATAAATATGTTTACAAGGTATTCAGAGAGTAAGACTTCACCCTTCTAAACTAACTGATTGACACAATACCTAAATGGTATATTTCATAAGAGATAAAGGGGCAAAAACACAGTTTCTGGTGACAGCAATCTTTGGCAGAAGTATTCCATCGGTCTTTTCTCCTAGAACTGTACACTTTGTTGTACTGAAGGCAACTTTCTGACCAAGTGTTTCTTGGTTATAAGTTGACAACCGATATGGCCAGCTGAGGCTGTGCTAAATCTTCCTCTTAGCTGGATGAGGAGCCCTGGGCACACCTAAGAACATAGCAGGTGTCCAGAAGGTGCTGGCCTTGACTGAGAAGCTTGAGCAATAGAGCCACAGTAAATTTTAGAGCAGCTCCAAGGAGCTGGGCAGTGCCTCCCCTCCCCCCCGTGCTTACACAGCTCAGGGCACTGTTAGCCACACCCCCACCCCCAACCCCCTGAGATGCAGATTGTATGTGCAGCCTTGTGCATGTTCCATCTCATAGGCTCTGGTTTGGGAACTTCCTCTCTCTGTTTCCCTCAATCAAGGCAAAATTTCCCCATTCTTGTCTGGTGATCACTGGTATTTACACGACTAACTGGTGAATGAATGAAGACACTGTGGATTTTCATAAGAATTCCAGATGGGCCAGTCATGTACTTCAACATTTGGAGTATATTTTCTATGACATTCTGTTAACTAAGTCAAGATTGTCTCAGCCAGTGAAGGTGGGCAAGATGGGGAAACAAACCTACTAGTTGTAAGCTAGAAAATTCTCGCAGGTCCAAAAGGCTTAAGTAAGGTAGGTATATGAGAAGTCATATTACTTCCCACTTAATTTGAAAACTAAAAATGAAAGAATTAACATAGATGAGACCCTCAGAGATCACTCATTCCAATCGCCGACACCATGCAGCCTTTCCAGAAGGGAGCAGCCTACGTGGCAGACGGTCAGCTAGTTTGTGCTGGAATCTTCCTGGGGAGAGGCACCTTCAGAGGCAGCCTTTCCCACAGTTGGCAGGAAAGCTTTTGAAGACATCAAAATGAATCTGCTCCTCTCTAACTCTCACCCCATTGGTTGAACTAAAATAATGCCAAAAAAGTCTTAAGGCTCCACTTATCACACAATAGCTCTCTAAATGCTAGAAAACAACCATCAAAGCCCCATAATCTTTTCTTCTCTAGACTAAACATCCTGTGGTTACTCAATATTTCCATCCAGCCTGGTTTCCCTGTCACTCACCAGTCTAGTCTCCCTCTTTTATAAGCTATTTTATCAACTATGACCTTCTTAGGAGTGTTGTGTCTATTCCTAATGAGATCTCGTCAGTGGAAATATTTTCTCCCTTGAGCTGCACATTGTTGGCCAATTAATTTGCACTTGCAGGTGCATTGAGTTGTAAGATCCCACAGTGTCCACCTAGTGCCTGGTACTCCTGAGCATTTTAGAATATTGATTGAAGGTTTGGGTTAATAAATAAGTGTGCAGGATTTTTCTGAATGTGAAAATTACAGCCTTCTCCCCTGAAGTTAATATTACTGAATTTCTGAAACTAAATGCAGGACTTTCTATTTACTCCTATTAAGTTCAACATCTTGGTTTTACCAGTGTTGTTATTGACTGACATCCCTACTTTCATCTTTCAATACATTAGCCTTCCATTTTTCACTGCCAGCGTTGTGCCTTCCAGATATTCAACAAGCATGCTTTACATATCTTTTCACTTGTCATTTATAAAGAAGTAGGTTACACAGGCCATGCCATTTTCAAGTCACATGACACACAGATAAACTCCAGGCTGAAAAAGGGCAAAGGGCTTCCCAGCATGCGATCACTGGAAGCTGATTCAATTCAGGAACTCATCACTATCATCTTTGAAAATATTTAATAACTGCCTGATTATATATACTGCTATACTATGTATTTTAAGATTACCCTGGAGATTTCACTTCATAATGGGATACAGTCTTTTTTATAGAGTAGCCATAGTAAAAAAAAAATCCAAGAAGCTAGTATCATGCCTATATGCAAACTACACTTGTGGAATAAATGAATAGTGTTAGATGAGTGAGGAAACGCTCAGTAGAGCCCCGAAATAATTCATCCTCCAAGAAAGTCCCGACTTGGCCCTCAGGTAACTTTCGAATTGGGCATGGCTCCATGAACTTGCTGATGTCTAGATCTATATCACTGATGAAGTGAGCTTGGTCCTTAAAGATAGGAAGCAGGATGCTTTGAAAAATATTTTTAAAGGTAACATCCAACTCCCTTTTAAAGATCTGGCACTAAAATAATCCTTGACCTCTAATAGATCATGGTTTCAACTCAAGCAAGGTTGACATTTTAATAGATTTCCATGTTGATCAAGGTGACACTTCAGCAGAGAAGGCAAAGGGGGCCCCAAGCAGTGGCGTCGTCATCACTCAGGTGTGTGCCTGACCTTGGTCATTGCCGTCACTCAGCACATTGCGGTGAAGGTCGTCCTCTCTGGAGATTCCCCTTTAGGTACAAACCTGTTCCCCCAGGAGCTGTACCATATTAAGCTACAAAACCTACTGCCCAGTAGGAGTTAGTTTATAAAAAAAAGAGCAAGATCATATCAAAACAGGGCAAGGGAACCCAGTTAGCCATGAGCATGGTCATGGGTTTGAAAAGGTTGGAATGCCAAGGTGTCAGGTTCTTTACCGGTAGGGACCAAAAGTACGTTAAGAAGCAAAAGACACCACACACTGTTGTCAAGACAAATCCTGTCTCTACCACTTATGAGCTGCTTCACCTTTACTGTGTAATCTCTGCAGTGCTTAGTTTTCTCATCTTGAAAGTGATGAGGTGATAAAACAATATGCTTTCCCCATAGCACTGCTGCAAGAAATGAATGGGATAATCCATTTACGATGTTTAGCACACAGCTGAGCACACAGACACTATATCGTTAGGATTTTTACTGTTATTGTTACTCTTTGGTGCTATCTAGTGAGACAGAACTGGCTGGATGGCTCTGGCCCCCGGTCTCTGAAGGATTTGGAGACCTAAGAACATACCTGGCCAAGGACACAATATTGTCTAAGATCCAAATATGTTCCTATATAGTACCCAGCCTAAACGTCAGCTGTGGGGGAGGCAGGTGGTGTTGTGGAAAGACATCATGGGTTTGGAGTCTGATAGATTCAAGTCTGAATTCTTGCTTTTGACCCTACTGGCTTTATGATTTTGGACAAATTATTTACTCCTTCCCTGCAAATGTCCTTCATTTACAATATGACATTAATGATAAAGCTCATCAGATTGTGAGGATTAAATGAGTCAGAGCATATCAATGTCTAGCTGAAGGCTGTCAGAGAAACCCCAGGTGCCCCGGTTCTGTCCTGGTGCCTGTGGGACCATGGGGGGGGGGAGAAGGAGGTTGGGTGTTTCAGACAAGCAACTGATGCCAGCTCTTTATTGGTTTTCAACATTGGTGTTTTGTGGGAGATTTTGTCTTCCCATTGTCTTGTTTCCCACTGCTCACACACAAAAAATTGAAAATCACTGGCCTAGGAAATAGTAAGTTTTCATGTTTGGCAAGGTTTAAATGAGATAATCCACAAAATGCTAAGTCCAGTGGCTGTCACTTAGTGAGTACTGAATCTACACTGCATAGTCTTTTCCTTGCTCTTTTGGGAAACGCTTAGCTAATCCTATGCCTATGGTGACCATGCATCTGGTCTTTGGCACAGTTCTGGTTCAGTCTGTTACCCTGGTGTCATTATTAGTAGGACTACATTTCATCCTCAGAAGTGGTTTGGTTTGGATGATAAATTAATTGTTCACCCTAATTGTCCGTCCATTT